GGGTACTTAAGGGAAAATCTGGGCATTATTCTAGATGCTACATGGTGGTTCTGGGAGGGTCTGTTGTGCTTCACAGAGCCTTCTCTCTGGCAACATGGTCCTCTGGTGGCCTTAGCAACCCAGGAACAAAGGTGGGAGTAGACCGGAAAGAATGCTAGACCATAGGTTGTGATCAATAAGCATAAGGGCATTAATCATAAGTTTCAGGGCAACTTTCCATGGCAGAGGATGTTCCAAGCTCTGAGTCAAGCTACAGGGGACAATCTATTATTAAGCTTTGGGTAAGGAAAGGTGAGGCTGGGGATACTGTGAGACCTCTACTACGGGCGTCCCAACCAGGCCCTTCTTCAAGTTCATAAGTTCTTTCATCTAACTGCACTGGAATGCATGAAGGAATGTAAAAACCAAAAAATGGGGAGCCAGGGTGTAGAGAAGACCCAAGTGGCCATCTTGGATTTCCCATAACTCTGACTAGTCATTTAATTTACAACCAGTGTTTACCCATACAATATACTATAGAAGTTTTTCTATATATACTGAGATTTTTAACCCTTAAAACCTCAGTGTCTAATGAAAACTAAAAAGTAATCAATTAGCATTCTTTAACTTGGACATTTTATAACTTCTAGAAACATTTTTCATAGACATAAAGGTCTATTATTAATAGGGACTTATCCCCAGGCAAAAAGACATGTCTGTTTTACTTATACCAACAAACTTAAGCTAGCTTTTATTTACTAATTATTAGTATTAGATCACATGAACTTGAAAAGCATTTGAGTTAGTTTCTGTATTTCTGAGAGTTTTAGACTATCCAATTCTTATACGTACTTGCCTTTAAATTAATTTTAACAATACCATCTGGAGGTCGAAAATTATCTAACATTTATAACATACATATATAGACACACAGACAGACAAAAAGACCAGTTGGATCCAATTTTTGTTTTGGAGGCATTTACAATTTATATCTGTCCTTGGCAAGTCGAGTTCCAAATGACCTTTCTCCTTTTAAAATAAGGCAGCCATTTTTAATACCTCAAAGAATTGGGTTGATATCTAAATGACTCCATAGCTGGACCCATTTATCTAAATCTTCTTTTTGAAGTTTTGAGAGACCAATCAAACATGATTTGCATTCATTCTGTCTAATTTTATAGCTGGCTTTTTCTAATTGACATAAAAGATTCATTTAGAAGTATCAAAGGAACCTTATCTCAGCTATCTTAGTTATAAATGGGAGGCTGACTGTGTTATTGAACTCAAGGGGTTCATTTTTGCCTGCACGCATCAAAGCCAAAAGAGACATGAACAGGAGTTTGCAGCAAAGAAAGTAGAGGTTTAGTTAAGGAAATGGCACCAAACCCAGAGACACAGGTGAGCTAGCACTGGAAGACCTGGGGCCCTGATGGCCTCTAGGGGAAAGGTTATATAGGAGAAAACTCATTAGTTAAGGGAGTTGGGGTTGTGGGCTTGACTGATTGGTTGGGGCCAGTAAGAGGCAGTTGATCAATACATCAGGTCCTGATGTCAGTCATCATTCTCTATGTTTTTAGGGGGATGCTGGTAGGGTTGTTCCCCCCTCACGGGTATAGAACTGAAAGGTGTTGTCTTTAGTTTGACCAAAACTCTTTGTTGTCAACAGACCTGAGGCTTTGTTCCTAAGACTGCTTGATGCTGACCTAAGGGCTTAATGATTAAGGGAGTGGTTGTGCAATGTGTAGAAGGATAAGGAAAGAAAAGCAAAATGAGCCCAAGGCCAGTTTGAATCAAGGAAAAAAAGAGAAGAGAAAAAGTCATTTTAAAGAAGTGAAGATTCGAACAATTACAGCTGTGGTGGGTCTTGTCTTTTGGGAGGCACAATTTCCCATGTCAATTTCAAGATCTGTAGAATCTGACAAACTTCCAGGGAAAACCTTCCCTTACATGCTCATCTCCAGATAAGCCAAGTGACATGGATATCCCTTTAGGACTGCTTTATGCCCTAGAGGAGATTTTTCTTCAGGCAACACTACAAAGATTCTTAGTCAACTAATACCCCAGCAAGGACCAGTGAGAACTTATGGATGCCACCAGAACCACCGGAACCTCTGGAACTTTGAAGGTTTGCTAGGAATGGGCCCCTCCCTTGGGGTGCACCCATTCCAGGATGCCTGGCCCTTCTCCTGCCTAGCACTTCTCCTTGGGGCTCTCACCAGCTTCTCTGAGATTGGCTATGGTGCCAACACTGGAAGACTCCGGCACCCATCTCTGCCACTCTGGATTTGGGGATCTGAACAACTTATCGTCACCCCATTGGCTATTTAGGTTGGGGAAGCAAAATGTTCTTTCTCTTTCAGAACTAAAGAGAGTTCAGTCTCTCATTTATCCAGCAAAGATTTTGTTCCAATTCTCAGTAAGCAATCCAATTAAAAAGCTGAGACTAAAAGTAGCAATGCATTTCCCCCTTTCCCAGGGTTATCTCAACCCTATCCCCCTTGAGGAATTTCTAAGAACAGCTCAAATAGTTACAGCCTGCTACTTTAAGCAAGGAGGCCCACAATTTCTAGAGAAGCTCACTCAAGTTCACCTGATGCGAAGCAGGGAGCTAGTGGGGCATAATGGGCTCTTGCTAGTACCTAGCATTGGGTCCGGGTCTGCAGGGTGGTCTTGGGTGGGATTCTTTGTGCTGTGGCCTGTATAGAATAGACCAAACCAAGTATGCTCTCAAAGGCTGTTTATTAGCCGGCGGCTGTCCTGTACAAAGGAGCAGCCCCGAAATGCCAAGATACAAGGTTTTTAAGCCCTAAATCCCATTCTTTATTCTATCTTAAACACAAAGGTCTATTTCTCTCCTATTCACTACCTGTCAACCCACTGGTCAGGTGTGCAAGCAGGGAGTACAGAAGCAGAAAGCTTGTTGTTAGAATGTTATGTTCCTATGGGTGATTGCCTATGTTCCCATGGGCAATAGCCAGTATTCTCATGGGCGATGGCCAAACAGTAATTTTCAGCTTATATACAATTGATTATTTTTCATGCCATGCAAGCAAGCAGGGTTACACAGGCTAAAATGGGCAGTTAGCATATGAGCTCATTGTTACAAGTTCATGATTAACAGAATGTAGTTAGGGGTTCCAGAAACTAGGCCTAAAGTATAGACTTCCTTTGTCCAGTTTCAGGTTTTAATTATCCTTTAACCCTTTCACATTTTAGCAGGCTATCACATTTGGAATCCTGCCATACTATGACAAGTAAATGTTGATGTAAAGAAACGTCCAAACTTGTAGAGAGTTTTTATAAGAGTTTATTTGAGCCAAACTTAACAACATAAGCCAGGCAGCAAGATCTCAAATGCTCCCAACTTTTCTGTGCAGGGCTCTTGGCTCTTCTTTACCTAGAGGATGGGACACAGCACCTAGTTCTTTCTAGAGTTTCTTTCTAGGAACCCAACTGTCCCAGCGTTTCTGTTTTCTTTTTACCATTGTCCAGGTTATATTTGGATCTCTGGATATCACATCTTCCTAATAGCGGTGATCGAAATGTTTCAGTGGTTCCTTTTCATTTTTCTTCCTCTTTGCTTGAAGCAAAATAAATAGGCTCCATCTCCATTGTTGGAGACTCCAGGCAATTAAATTTTGAGGAGCTGCAGCACAAGTTGGAGATATATGAACCCTCATAGGTCGCACCAAGTTTAACCCCTTACACAGGAAGTTAAAGCCAGGGCTCGTGGTAACTATTCTGTGATTAGATATTGCTTTCCTTTGTTAGGGGTCAACTTTCTCTCCTTTTGAGGCAAAGAAATCCCTTATTAGAAACCACTGAAACAATCCTGTTGACTACAAAAGGTAATGAAACTGTTCTATACCTTGAATGTGGTGGCGGTTGCACAATTGTACATATGGGTGTCAAAACTATTGATTAGAAAGGCTGATTTTTACTGTACATGTTATACCTCAATTAACAACACCAACAACAATCTCGTTTAGTAACATGGAAAAATGTAGTCAATACTAAAGCAGGGGGGAATACATGAATATGGAGGAGGAAATCAGGAGAATTTAAAACTGCGTTTTGTTGAATAAAGAGATAATTTTCCCCTTCAAAAATTTCTTTGTGATTGATGCTATGAATTTTGGAGCTGCAAACACGTTTGAAAACTTAGATGCGCGTTTATAAAAATGTGTGCAGCTGTACACGTAAAATTAGTTCACTTTATGCACTTTGTTATATATCTGTTAAAAAGTTTTAAAAGAAGCCTTAAAGTTCTGGATGGTGGTCAGAAGGGTGTATATCCAAATGAAAAAAAATCCATCCACTAAAAATTTGTGGTCTACCGCATATTATACCCCAATAAAAAAAAATACATAAATTGAAACTATGTTGCCTCTGTCCTGAACAGGCGGTCAAAGACCTCCAGCGATTGGTTCACTGACTCCCAGAACAGGCCCCTGGCAAGGAATATATAGGAACTCAGAAGGACCTGCTTCCGCGTGGCCTGCGGTTATGCCGCCTGCTCTGGGGCCCGAGTCCTTCGGGTAGGGGTAAGGTCCTGCGAACCTGCACAAAGGCCCACGGCTCCTGGGTACTAACGGTGTTCCCGCCCACGGAGGAGTCGTGGACATCCCCGCAGCCCATCTGGAAATCGCCGGCCCTACTCCACTCCTCGCCTGCACTACTGACGTCACCGCCCTGCCTTCCCATCTCGCGCCGCCGTTTCCGCCCGCTCCCCCTTTCCCGGCGTGCGCCGCGGTCAGGCCCCTCGCCTTCGGCTTCTGCCTGCCGCCCCAAGATGGCGGACACAATGAGCCGGCGCCGCGCCGGTTGGCCCTGAGGCGACTGTGAGGAGGAACGGT